AGATGCATGAGGATGTAGGTTTTTTTTGTGTGTGTGATTTTGTTTGAATAAGAGTATAAGGTAAATGTAGACTTAAAGATTTATCTGATAGTAAGAATAGCAAATTTTTTTTTTTTTTCTCTAGGAAGTACTAGTATAGGATAGATTTGAGTTGGGTACGCATATAGTTTAGTTAAAGAATTAGTATTGCTATGGGATTAGTATTTAAAATGTAAAACATTGGATTAAACTATGCAAGAAAGAAACCAGCTTACCTCATTATGGATTCTGGAAGTGGTAGATCAAAGTTAAACTGAACAAAGTAAAAAGAAAATATATAGTAGGGGAGTGTGAAAAGCCTTGTTTTTCATTGGCTGATGTTGAATGGTCAAAATTTGAGCAAGGTCAGAATGTGTTTTTTGCAATATCACGGTGCATAGCACAACGCTTTCAAGGAGGCAGCCTGACTCATTTTGAATCAGGTTGGAGTTGCTGTTGGAGCCGATATTATGCAAAACCTGAAACCTGCGATGAGGACAGTGCATCACTGAAGACCACCCGTGATGCATCTAAAATGTATTATGCAACTTTATATATATATATATATATATATATACACACACACGCACTTTGGTTTTATCATATTTATATGGATATTTGCTGTCATCGTCATCTAACCTCAACTGCTTCAATGGTTAGGGATGGGGGACCTGAAGGCAGAAGAAACAGACTTTGATTCTTCCTCATGATTCCCTTTCAGTGGGCTTTCAGATAGATTGGAAGCACCTATCTCCTCTCCAAGTTAAAATTGGTTTTCAGTCATGTTAAATCTAATGAACAGATTAAAAATAAATTACAGGAATGACTTAAAAATGAATCTTTTAGCAACAGTTTTTCTTTTTTTTTTTTCTTTTTAACAGTTCCTCCTTAAAACACATACAGAGTTGTGCATTCAATTTTTTCTTTAAAATTATATTTGGATAAAGTGCTCTGTCTGATGTTCATGGAGAAATTAAGAGTTAAAAAAAAACCCTCACTTTAAAATTTGAAACAGGAATACCCAAGTGTTTTAACAGCTCTTACACTTTTTGACTTATCTTCCAAGCAGTTCACATTAAAGACAATTAATGTGCCATCTTTTTGGGTTTTACTTTTTATCTGTGAGCAGGTGTTGTTATTTTAGAAAAAAATCTGCTTAAGAAGTGAATAATAAAATAGAAATTCTCTCGAGATGAATTTGCAGATGCAATTTTTTGGCTTCTGCAACAAGCCAAAGATAACCTGGGATTCTTCACAAAGAGAACAATAATTATTGGTGAGATGAGAAATAAACCTCGAGAGATTGTAATTCTCTCTCATGCATAGATAAATGCACACATTTAGAAATCTAAATGTACAGCTTTAAGAAAAATAAAGTTCTATTCAAAACTAACTGAAGGCTGAAGAGTTGTTCAATAGAAACCTTATTTTGAAAACAACAAAGGTAAGGATGATAGTTGAGTAATTGAATTTTTTTATGGTTTATCAACCCTTTGTAAGTTATTTAAAGCCAAAACCTATTTTTGATTTTAAAAATAATTAGTTTTGGGTGGGGAATGGATATAGCATTTAACAATTTTGTGAAAATAATGATTTTTCCTGATACACTAGTATAGGATAGATTTTCATCCTGGCTCTCACTTCCAGATCAAATGACCAAACATCAGACTTATTTTTTTTTTTTTTTTTTTTTTTTTTTTTTTTTTGGGGAGCAGAGGGAGGCATCTCTTACTTGCTGGACTGAGAACTTTTTTGCATGCCCTCAGATTTCTTTTTCTCTTACATTTATTTGTATAGTTTTCTGAGTAACCTTTTTTCTCTTATATTTTCAACTTCAGCAAATTATGTTACTATGATGAATAAACTGAAGTCTTTGCATTCTCACCATTTACCTCCTCCTTTTGTATTCAATTAATCTCTCCCTTCATCTCATCCTGTACCTCCTCCTTTCTTATTCAATTAAACTCTTCCTTCATATTGTCATGTACCTCCCACTCTCTTATTCAATTAAACTCTTCCTTCATATCATGTACCTCCCACTCTTATTCAATTAAACTCTTCCTTCATCTCATCCTGTACCTACCACTCTCTTAGTCAATTAAACTCTTCCATGATCTTGTCATGTATCTCCTCCTTCCTTGTTCACTTGAACTCTTTCTTATTTTTGGTATGATGCACAGCAAGGAACATCAGTGGAGAGGGAATAGGGCTGGGAAGGTTGCCTATATCAGTCTGACAGGCCATTATAAAGTTCATCATGTGAATACTTATGCTCAGAAAAAAAAAAAAAGCGACAGTGGAAACCTAGCAACTGGGAAAATGATATTGCCACTGTCACATGTGTGAAGCAAGATTAACGTGTGTGCGTATGTGTATTATGTTCATTGGCTGTAGAACTAAAAGAGATATAGTCGTGTGCATATTATACCTGTGTGTATAACACTAAAACACATACATATATTGACTTTTTTGTTTATAAAATGCAGTCTAGTGTTTCTCTGCCTTGTAAATTTACTTGTGGTTTTATTGGCTTTGCAGCATGGAGCCACTGTTGTCAGCTTATCTTGCTTATTTATTGCAACTTAATTTTGTTATTCATACAAATCAATAAATTCTGATATTGGAGAAAGATTGTTCCAAAAACAATTTTTGTCCATTTTTGAAACAGAAGGTTGTGGGTGGGGGGGTTATGAGGAATGGATATTCTTGGAATTTTTCTATGTTGCTGATTCCATGTGTCACAAATGTCTTTTCATTTGATTTGTTCTTTTTGCTCTTTGGTGATTTTCTTGTTTCTGCCATAAAGTACAGTATGTACATGTTTGCGTCCGCATACGTGTGTTTTTTATATATATATATATATATATATATATACACACACACACACACACAAGAATTTCTTTAATATCAAAATTTTGTACAGAATTTTTGTGATTTAAATATGGATTGTATTTTTTTATTAATATTGTCTTTATTCTGGTTTTCTTTTTTTCTTTCACTTGCAAACAATATTTTTGGCCTAAAAGTTTTCAATATAGAAAAATGGAGTTATTAACCAGTGTTCAAGTTATAGCCGAGGCAGTTTATGCATTAATGTTTTTGGGAATATTATGAATCAAACAAATAGTATGCCTCTCAATTACTCAGATCAATGATAACCCTCTGTTCTTGTTACTGTATAAATAATACAATCTCTATGAATTGTACAGGTCAATGATTACTCTCTGATACTGTTGCTGTATAAATAGTACAACCTCTCACTTGAGAGATAAGACACTGTCAAATAACCCCATTTTCTCCAAGAAAGACCACAAAATACACCACCCATTATCCCACTGATCTACATAGGAGATGAGATAATTTGTTTTTAAAATATTGATAGATGTGAGGATAAAAAGTAACAAAGCAAGTTGAGAGTAATCTTTACATTTGATCCAATTTTTCTTACATTATAATTAATTTATGTACACTGAAGTATGTACTTTTATTTTTGGCAGTGTAGTTTACTCGGTGGGGAAGCATTTAATAAAATATTAAAAAGACACATGCACAAAAAAAACAAAAAAAAACAAGATGTGAAGCCGATCCAGAGATTTAACTGATCATTTGATTGTTAAATGAATTGTCAGTGCCTACCATGCTTCAGTGTTAGGGATAGTGTATCCTGTATTTTTTTTTTTTTTTTATTTCTCTGCTTCCATATGACCAAACTGGAATTTCCATATTTCCATCTCAATCCTCTTTTGTTCATTCACTTCTTCTCTTATTTCACTTACAGATTTCAGGTTAAGCCAATTAGAGAGCATTTATCTCTTACAGTTTATGTATATATGTATATGTCATATAAACATTGAAAATTAGTTCTGAATTCTTTTGGTTGAATTCTTTTTAATGTCATGTCTTTGGCTCTTTACAGATTCTTTTTTTCTTTATCTGTGAATTTCCCTGAGTCATTTGGAAAATGGTGTTGCCTTCTCTATAGTTTGAAATTCAGTTTTCTCCATTTAGACTGATTGCCACACGCAGCTAGAAAGCCCAGTTTACCATTTGGCTCAGATCTGTTGGGGGAGGGGCTGGTTTAACGCATACACACAAATCTAAGATAAGCATTTATATATTTTATAGCATATAAGACCCTACTTTTCCACACCTATCAAGAAAGGACTAAAAAATGTCTTATATTCTAAGTTCAAGTATCTTTTTTAGCTTATGCATGCCCAGACACAATACACTGTTGGTACTTATGCCTTATCTAACTCCATAATACTGTAATATTAAATATAAATTAATAGGGTATGTTATATGCCATCAGATTAAGTGAGTAAATGTGTATGTAACTGTAATATATTTACACCTGCCTGTATTTATTAGGACCCATTTAAACACACGCAAGAACTTACCAAACTGTATCCACAAGATACTCATAGGAAATAATTAGCATAATAGCCTCATTGACATGTAAAATAAAGCTAAAAATAACGAAGCATTAATAATGAAAAGGAAAATGCTGACACTCAGCAATATCAAATATGAAAACAGCCAGAGAATTCTGACCTTGTTTGAAAAAAAAAATGCATTCCCATCACTATGGATATACATAGATGAAAATTTACATAAAAAATGAAAAACATCTTTGATAATGGCTAATAGAAATTGATATATAGAACATTTGGACAGGTTTTATACACTTTAAGCCCAGAAAAAAAAATACTTTTATGAATGCAAGAAAAATTGAATAAAAAACTTAATCACAGTACCTTGTCAGTCACCTTTAATGATGAAACTTATATATATATGAATAGACGAACGAAAAATTTATCTTTTTTCCTTTTGTTTTTATTCATATTGTCCTTTTAAAGATATATTTTTAGTTATATCCAAACTTTTACACATGTATCTGAAATAATTTTTTTTCTTTTTTTTTCCAGAATGTTGTTTCAGAGTTGGACAAATGAGGTGACAGCGCCCACAATTTATTCATAATGCTTCTCTATCCAAGACGGTGGCTGCGACAGTTGAAGCCAACATTTTTCACGCTCATTTGCATTGGGGTTCTCATTCTTCTTCGAAATTTGGCTTATGACAATAGCGTCTATCAGAGCATCTCTTTACACCAGAAGATGGAGTACCAGATATTTTCTTCCTTTTATCAGAAGGACGAAAGTGTCCGACGTGTATTCCGGAAGAAGGTCGCCCACCTGAATGAACTCGGTCTGTCAAATATCCATGACAATACACCAGCCCAAGATGACATAGTATGTCGCCATCCAAAACTTGATCTCTCCAATGATGCTAACAAAGCTGCCTTCTATGATGTTGGCTCAATTCAATGTTTTGGTCGGGAACTTTTTACCTTTCAAAATGGTGTTTTAAGGTTTAACAGGACATCATTGCGCAGGGATATAATAAAGAAATGTTCTTATCAAGCTGTGGAACGCATTGATGACAACTATGCCACCTATACAACTCCTTTGACAAGGAATTCATCTCCATTTGACATGGTCTTACAGCATGATTTTATAAGGGTCCAATGCTATTTTGAGGTTGAAGAACACACAGAATATCAAAGAAGCCTGCTCTCTGTGAACTTGCACCATGGTAAACATCTTCGCTCAGTTCCCAAAAGGCAGGCAGAGAAAATTAACTTAGAGAATGGTGTTCTGCAAGGCAAACCAAATAAGGGAGTTCTTCAGCCTATACAAGAGTCACAAACTAAAATGGCTCAACGTTTAAAACAGTCTTCATTCACTCAGCCTTCAGTTGAGAAAAAGCATTCACAAGAATCTCCATTGAAACAGGCATTTCCTCAGAAATTGGCTAAAAATGGAACTGTTCTGTCACCTTTAAAAAAAATAGATGCCAAAAATACAAACAAAATAAAGAATAAAAATCAGTTTATATTTGCTGAGAAAAATTCTCTTAACATTCCTACAAATCAGCTTCAAAAATCTGGAGCAAAGGAAAAAATTCTTCAGCAACCCAAATTCTTAAAGCATCCTAAGAAATTAGTTAAGGAACTAGAAAATTCAGTGTTTGCCATTCCAAAATCTCTTTCAGTTCAAAAGCATCAATTCCAAAATGTCGATCAAAAAAGATCTATTAATCATGCTAAAGCAAAAGAAACAATTTCTAATTCCAATACAGATCATAGAAGCTTACAAAACTTAAATAAATCCATAAATATTCATCAGCACCAAATATTTGATAAACCTCATCACAATCCTAAAAAAGACTCAAGACATTTTGCAAACACGCATGTTATAAAAAGCTCTGGAAAACTGTTTCCAGTTCAACACAATAGTGCCAAAAATATATTGAATGCAAAAGTGCTGGTAAATAAAACTAAGCCAATTTCTAATTCTACTGTCAGGATTAAACATAGTCAGCAACCAAACCTTTCCCATTTTGTTAAAAAAATGATCAAATCACAGCTGAATAAAAAAATTAAGAACAATAAAGAGATCATTCAATTATCCTTTCACCTTTCAAAACAAAAAAGTATGCCAAAGAAATCCCTCAGACAACAAATTGATCCCCAAATGATTAATATTAGTCACTTAAAAAACAGCAGTTCCAAGAAAATATACAAATTAAATGGTTATAACACTCATAATCAAACTATTTCTGTTCTGAAGAATATTGATTCCAAAAGCAGCACTTCTCAAACAAGCAAAAAAGGTCTAATCTTTTTCAGAGAAGTTAACTATCCAGAGTTAAACTGGAAACATTCTCCAGTTAAAAAAAAAGATTTACGTATAGCAAAAGGTGGAAGTCTTGAAGCAGTTTATATGAATCCATCTCCATTGCAGAAATCCAAAGCAATGAAAATAAACAGAAAGGGGAATGCAAGCCTTTGGCAAAACAGAGCGTGGCCTTTTGTCAAACCAATTCATAAATATTTTAAGAAAATCCCAACTCATCTTGCTCAATTGCCTGAATTGAAACAAGAGAAAAATATTGAACCAATTAGCAAAAATAGTAACTTAAGCTTAAAGATATCCAGTACTAAACAGCCTCTTACTGAAAGAACTGATTTTCAATGGAAACTTAGACCAAAAATTAATTCTGTGGGTCAATCGGCATCTGTTGCAAATAACCATGATAAAACTCCTTTTTATAATATGATTAAAACAACCATAGCAAAGACTGGAAACAAAATTAGTGATTTCAATGCCATCTCTCAGCCACATGAAAATCAAGTCCCACCATTACCTTTTAGTAAACAGACTAAAGAGAGATTTGACATTTTTGCAATTCAACCCAAATCTTCTGAAGGCAAGAAAACCATGAATGTAAATGATTCTACATATTATGACAGTTCCAAGGAAATGTACATCAACCTTCCCCCTGAAGACTATGGAATTAATGAAGAACTACCAGATATTGAACAGTTCTTTGTCCAGATTTACCCAAAGCCAGAAGTTTTTCAAAGAATATCTGAAGTACCACCATTTGTACGAATCAATGTGATTCCATTAAACATTTTAATTTATGGACTTGATTCCCTGTCCCACTTATCTTTCCAGCGTAAACTACCTCTCACCTACAAATATTTAAAAGATTCCCTTGATGCTGTCATAATGAATGGATACAATATTGTAGGGGATGCAACCACTGCAGCCATTATACCTTTGTTGACAGGTAATTCATTCATCATTTTTTTTTTTTTTTTTTTTTTTTTAGCTGAAGCAATTTATTTAATCATTTGTAGCAAGAATGGTTTTAATTCCTTTTGACTTGCAGTAATTTTGTTATAATAATTTATTACATTTTTATTCATTTAACATTCTACATTTGAATCAGCCTTTTTATTCAGTGTTAAATCTGTTTACATATTTTTTATTTTGCTGAATTTATTACTGTTTTCAACACTGCTTTCTTTGATGTATATTTTTTTTTATAAATTTGAAAAATTTTCAACCATGTTAGTCTTAAGTATTTGTTTTATTTTTATTTCATTTTTCTCTCTCTCTCTTTTCTCTCCTCTTATATTTTATTTTATTATACTTTTAACACTGCATTCATTTTTAGACACCTTTTATTTTTTTAATACAATTTTTTATTTTTTCAAATGTAATTTTTATACCCATGCACACACACACACACACACACACACACAGAAGGTACACCATGTATTTTTGAGAATATACCTTTATTTCTTTTTCAGACCAATCAAGTGCATTAACATATCAGTTTCCAATTTGATACAGAAAATGAAAAACATGACATGATTGTAGTACTAGCTGCCAACCACAGAGATCTAGAAATGGTCAGCTTTATGAAAATGGCCAATGAACAGGTTGGATGACAGTTGGCCTGTACAGATCCTACAGAAGTACCCACAGATACAAAGATCATATTATCTATGGTCCTGGGAGTTGTGAGCAATCAGATCTAAGGTCTCAGCATCAATGCCAACATTGCAAGGTACTAGACAGATTGTTCAAGTTTGAAGTGTTCCAGCAGGATATATAGTCCACATGACCCAGAAAAAATAGCTGGCTGAGAATGAAAATTTTCATGATCTACTGATTTTAATCTCCAGATGATTAATGCCTTGGTTCATTAATTTGGTCACATAGAATTTGTGGGTTCAATCCCTAAACCAGGTTGTACAGACTTAGTGGAAACAGAACTAGCAATAATTGAGCAGTAGTAAAAAAAAAAAGATTAGAAATCACTAGACATGGACAGTGGAACCAGAATAATCTACCCTATGAATTAAATTCCCTGAAGATTATCCATGTCAGCCAACACCTGAAGAAGACAATAGGGTATAAAGACTGAAACATTCTAATAATAACAAAGCTTAGTCTGACTTTAAATAATGTCAATAAGAATAACTCCTCACTTCAGAAATTTAAACAGAAACTTTTTGTAGATTTAAGATGGCCTAGATAAACACTTCACTTTAAAATTCTCTTTGGTCTTTTAGCGTTATAAACACAGGTAGTTTTATGACGCATGTAATACAGTTATGTAGGAACTCGAATTTTAAAGACTCTTCAATCAGCACAAGCTGGCTGACCACTTAGATATTGATAGCAGGTAACACAGTGTTGATAGCAGTCATGGAAATGAAAATAACAGAACTCCTACAGAAGTTAGTGAAGGAAAGCAAGAAGAAAGGACTAAACATCAATTGAAAGAAGACATAATCATTACCAAAAGGATGAGCCCAACATGCAATTTACAAATTGGAGATGCCTGAATCATACCAGTACAACAATTTAAATATCTGGGAAGTATTTTAACAGAGGACAGAAAGTGCGACTCTGAAATCCAAAGATGCATTCCTAAAGCTAAGAAGAAAACAGAAAAATTTTCGTTGAAACAAAGAAAAGTGTACTGAACTGTTATGAAATATCAGTCCTCCGATATGGCAGTAAATCCTAGACAATCTTCTCACAGATGAAGAAGAGACTTGAAGCAATGAAAATATGGTTCTACAGAAAGATGCTGAGGATACCATGGGTCGAACATGTAAGCAACAACAAAGTTTGAGAGAAAATGGAAACAAAAAGGAAATTATCATCAGGAAGAGATAGTTGAAATTTCTAGGGCGCATAATGTGGAAAGAAGGCTTGGAAAATTTGATACTCACAAGATATATTGAAGGCAAGAGGTATAGAGGAAAACAATGCATAGCTTACCTAGTGAGGTTGAATAAATGGATGTGAAGAAAAAGGTTTAGGAAAGATAACAAAAAACAAAATTTATTAAGAGCTACAAAGGACAGGAAATGATCAATTATGTCCTGAAAGAACATGGCATATAAACAAAGAAATAATATAGTTATTCAGCTTGATGGGTTTTTTTTTCTTGAGACACATTAGGTTTTATTTAGCCACTTTATTTTTGTTTCAATCTAGTGAATTAACTCCGAGTGAGGGACAAGAGCAACACAATTAGGAAAGGTCTGGGAGAGTCATTGACAAAGTTGCTCATTGGGAAATTGGATGGACTGAATTATAAACTTTTGTGGGCAAGCAGATTTTTCCAAGATTATCCAAAATTTATTATACTGAATGTCTTCATTTAGTCAGCAGAGGTGACATGCAACTCCTTGTACTCAGGACAGTTTTTCTTAGATCTATAACAAAAACTATTTCAGTTGTATTTTGGTTACCTATTAACATATTGACTTCCAGAGAGGCAATACTGATAAATGAAATCACCATAGCCTCTTATTTTATTTACTATAGGGACTAACCTATAATCCAAGACATTACATGAATGAATTTAAAAATGGAAAATAAACTAGTGGATTTAAGACATTGATTTGTGAATTAGGTGGCATAGTAATTGAGAGTCCAATCCCTGGGCTGGGTAGTACAGACTCACTCAGTGGAAACAGGATAAGGAATAAGTGAGCAGTATTAAAATATAATAAAATGAGATATCCCTAGACATGGACAGTGATAATCTACACCACTATAGATTAAATAATGGTTCACTTCAAAAATCCCAGAAGCTTACATGGATTGACAGACACCTGAAGGATGCCTGGAATAATATGATAACAACAAAGATAAGAATATTAGTTCAAATGTAAATAATGATAAATCTTTATCACAGAAATTAAGACAGATCATGTTGAGTAGCACAGGCATCATGTGCAGGCATTATCCTGCTGCAGTAGTATATCACCATCCTACTGTAGAAATGGCAGGAGAACAAGTTGAATAATATTCTGAACATAGATGATACCATTCAACATTCTTATCACCAACATATGTAAATAAGGCAAAACCTATTTCAATATCACTACAAATGTTAAAAAAAAAACTTCACAATTAAAAAAAAAAAATACAGAAAATGATGCTACAAAGTTTATTTATTTTTTGTCGAGTAAACTAAAGAAATTATTTTTTTAAAATCAAATGTTCAATGTTAAATGAAATAATATATCTGTTTATATCTAGTTACCTTCTATGTCCAGTGTATGTAAAATACAAATCACTTTTGAGACTATAAGCTTTGTATTCAGCTACAGGTTGTACATTTTAGCAAACTTGGGATTTGTCTAATACTGAATTATATAAAATGCCAAAAACAGAAATTGCTTCTTAAGGGGACTGTCTATAGGAACATATGCCAATCCCCTAATCTTACACTGTGCCTTGGCTAGTAGCATTAACCAATATTAATTGAATTAATTTTCATATTATTATGTAATACTTTTTAGCAATTTAACTATATTGTATATATACAGACTATTGTCCTCATGAGGACAATAGTCCATATATAGTGTAAATAATGATAACTCCTCAAATAGAAATGTTAGCATTTTAGCAATGATTTTTCCCATGGTACAGAAACTAGAACAATATATTTTATTGTTTATATAATATCAAAATTATAAGAATTCTAAAATATTTGCTTATTCTTTTTAATTAGTTCTGTTACAATTTTAAAATTCAGAAACAAATTTTATAAATACCTAATTTTATGTGAAAAATCAGTGTTGAAAGTTGCCAAATTTAGTGTTTTTTCAATTTGGTTTCAAAATGCAGTTAGGAATTTACTGACTCAGTTTACCAATTGGTTTGGAAACTCATAAAATAAAATTGAAAAGAAATAAAAGAACATTTGTGGCAGATCCACAAACTAGTAACTGCTGATTCAAAACTAACTAGACTGTTGGAGTTGCTGGAGTACAAAGCAGCAGATTAGTGAGGCATAACTGTAATTTGAGAATTTCTGTAGGAGAGCTTCCTTCAAATATTAATATATCCAGTTTTTTATTTGCTCACTATTTTAATACTTTATATTAGAATAGAAAATCTCATTGATGCTTTTTGAATAAGAATAAATAAAACTAAGGACCAAAGAATCATAAGTTTGAAGAATACTTGACACAATCATATATTATTTTTCCAAAACCTGGGAATTTTTAAATGTAAGTAAATCGTCATGTTTTGAAGAAAGAATTTTTTTTTTTTTAAATTTCTTTTCCCAAAATCATAATTAAATATATTAGTATTTTTTAAGTATATATAAATAAATAAGTTGCAAATTAAAATTCTAAAATATTTTTTTCCCTCTGTATCATTAATAAATTAAAATTTTTATTTTCTGAAATTGTAATGCAAAGCAAAAAGAATTTCCATGTTTTCTCTTAAACACACCAGAGGCATTTGAGGTGAGTAAAGGGAATACAGAATGAAAGATAGATTTGCTCTTCTGTAACCAATAGATTTCAAAGCTTAATCAGTTTCATCAAACTTATTCTTTCAATTCATGCTGCTTATTAATGATCCTAGAAAATGACAGTCTGGAAGCTGTGGTAAAAACAGCAAAAGGTGAAAGAAACAAGAGTCAAAACTTCAATTTTTCATCTAATAATAAATTGAAAAGTAGGTTACTATTAAAACAACTCACCAAAATGTAATGATTTTCAAAAGCGCTATGTGTGAATAAGATAATAAAAATGTACCAATAAAATTGATGACTTGATTTATATATAAGCTGCCTTCTATATGACATGACCCTTCAGGATGTCTGTGATCATGGCTCTCCACAATTTCCTCTATTTTATAGCTCTTAATAAACTGTTTTTGTTATCTCTTCTAAACCATGTTCCACCATGCATTTACTGAAGCTTGCTAGATAGGTTAGGTATTGTTTTCCTCTATCCC